TGCAAATTTATACCCTTTGTATAGAAGTTTTTCTTCTTCTTTTGTAAATGAAATTGTTGTGAAATTCGCAAACTGTGATGGACCATGAGTGTCAGATGGAGAATTTCTGTTTTCTCTTCTTCTTCTTTTCTTATTTTGTTTCTTCTCAAGTTGTTAATCTTTTTGATTTTCTTATTGTGATCTTCCTTTTTCTCTAAATATGTAAACATTTTGTATTTTATTAATTAATTACTGCCACCAAAATTCTGAAATATTGCATTTTATGGATATAATTTTTTGTGTATTGTTTCTTAAATGAAATGCACTGTATATTGGCATTCAGTTGTAGTTTCGGTTCTAAAACGTAACATTTAACGATTTCTAGAAGTTTAAATTCTGGCTGCAAGGTTTAGTAGTAGTCTTATTTGGTTGTATTAATTTTAGTTGTATATGTTAAAGGTAATGAATGAAATAATAAAACAAAAACAATTTTTTTAGGCATATATGTATATTACAATCACAAAGTCGTTTTGTTTATTATAAATATTGCTATTTTAGATTTAAAAAATTCAATTTACATAGTAACAGTATTCGTTCTAATAGAAATAGAAAAATTTCGCAAGAATATCATTCTTATTTATGTACATTTGAGCTAAAAATGACTATCGTTAATCCCTCTTAACAAGTCGGATAAAAACTGTTAAAATAAGGATATTTAAAAATTAAAAATGCGACGGTTAATAAACGAAACGATCATTTCGTTTTCTTTTTCATTTAAGAATGGAACGTTCGTAAAAGACGCAATATATATATTTTCGGGGAATATTTACAAAAAATATACAAATTATAGAAAAAAAATGTACAAAAAAAAGCGGATTATACAAAAAAGAAACTCTTGAGAGCAAATTCTAACAAAAATACGGTTTATATCAAAAAGTTTTTTTTTTAAATAAATGCAAATTAATAAGTACTGAGAAAAACATTATAACGCATACATAAATATAATTACTCAAAAATACACTTTAATTTAATGAGATTATATAGGCCAATTCGTTACAGGTATCGTTGATGAAATCATTTTTATTTTATTATATTCAAAAATATAAATTTTTTTATATGTTTTTTTTTACTATACAAAAGTTCTTTGGTATATAAACTATTCAACAATCTCGCTTTCACCCTCCAAACACTCAATAATCACTCTCTTTACGCTAAGACCCTATTTTAGTTCTTTTTATAACATCAATCGTTTTTTTTTTCTTGTTTTTTTTTTGATGATGATGATTATAATGTAAAAACTTCATCACCGAAGCTGAAATGTGCGAAATGAAGTTAACATTTCTTTTTTTCTTAAGGATTTTGGAAGCTCTCATCGGAAAAGTATCAATTGGGATTACTCTTTTTTCTTGAGGGTAGGGTTTCGGGGGTAGAATTTTTTAATACGACGCTTTTGACTATTTTACACGACAAATTTTGAATTTGAAATTGACGACTTTTTTTTTTTCGAGGTTAAGAAAAAACTTGCACCTCTTAGATTTTATTCGTATTTTTTTTTTAATTTAATTTACTGATATGTACAAACTAGTATTGACATCCCAGAATTTTTTTTTTTTTTATATATTTAACCCTTCAATACACGCACGCGGAATATCAAAAAACGTAATTTAAATTTCTAATTTTGCACTAACACCATTTTTTTGTTGTCTGAAGATGCATAGTTAAACCCGAAACTTTCTAGTTCTAGGTTTAGTGTTAGTTCTAGTTTTTATTATTATTCAGCGCTAAATTGTAGTGTATTTTTATTGGACTAAAAGTAGAACTAACACTAGAGCTGGAACTAGAATCATTCGGGTTTAGCCATCTTAAGAAACGTTCGGCTAAACCCGAATGTTTGTAGTTCTAGGGCTAGTATTAGTCTTAATGCTAGTGTTAGTTCTTGTTTTAGTTGTTATTCAACGCTAGATTGTTGTATATTTCTCGTTGAAGTAAAACTAGAACTAACACTAGACCTAGAACTAGAAACATTCGGGTTTCTGAAGACGCACGGCTAAACCCGAAACTTTCTAGTTCTAGGTCTAGTGTTAGTTCTAGTTTTACACTAGCACTATTACGATGTAGAACTAACACTATACCTAGAACTAGAATCGTTTGGGTTTGGCCGCACATCTCTAAAGACGGCTAAACCCGAATGATTCTAGTTCTAGGTACAGTGTTAGTTCTAGTTTTGCACTATCACTAGAACTAACACAAGACCTAGAACTAGAATCATTCGGGTTTAGCCGTCTTGGAAAACGTGGGGCTAAATCCGAATGTTTCTAATTCTAGGTCTGGTGTTAGTTCTAGTTTTGCACTAGCATTATCACTAGAACTAACACTAGACCTAGCAACATTCCGTTTAGTCGTACGTCTCTCCAGAATGTTTCTAGTTCTAGGTCTAGTGTTAGTCCTAATGCTAGTGTTAGTTCTAGTTTTAACTGTTATTCAGCGCTATATTGTTGTATATTCTTATTGAACTAAAAGTAGAACTAACACTAAACCTGGAACTAGAAACATTTGGATTTAGCCGTCTTGAAAGACGTGCGGCTAAAACCAAAATATTTCTAGTTCTAGATCTAGCGTTAGTCCTAGTGCTAGTGTTAGTTCTACTTTTAGTTCTTATTCAACGCCAAGTTATTGTATATTTTTTGAAGTTGCAGTAAAATTTGTAAACAAAAAATTACACGATGTTTTATGGATGAGGTTAGTTTTTTTGAAGTTCTTGGGTTGATGTTAAATTTCCTGTTAGAAGTGAAGATTATCATGAAGTTTAATAGATTAGAATTGAGGTTGATGAATAATTTTCTGTCAACAATAAAGGTTTTGATGAAGTTTATTTTGATTGAATTGAAGTTGAATTTGGATCAAAAATTAAAGATTTGCTGAAGTTGCTATCGTTGAAGTTAAACTCGTGATTAAACATGGAAGTTTATGTGATGTTGCATAGATTGGCTTGGGACTATTGAAGTCGTATTAATTGTTGTTAATTTTCCTTTCAAAATTAAGATTTTGATGAAGCTAAATTTGCCAAGAATAATTGAAGATTACTCAAAGTTTAATGATTAAAGTTAAATTATTTGAAGTTCTCAAGTTGATGTTAGTTTTCCTTATAGAGCCATCAAAATAACGATTTGCACGAAATTGATGAAGACTGGGAAAATAATGTATTCCAAAGTAGAATACCGTCGTATAGTCAAAATATGGAAAATTCAAAGATAATTGATTTTCCAAAGAAATGGAAACTGTCAAACGTATTTTCATTCTGTATTTGCTGTTATAGATAATAAAGAATACGATGCCCTTCAAACGAAGTTGATCAGAATTTCTGTCCATGTCGAAATTTGTAAATATACTAAAAAAATAGTGTTTATAGTGAAATAGTAAAATGGCAATAATAATTTCTTTTCTGTATTTGCTGCTATTGATGATGAGGAATACGATGTAGTAGAAACAAAGTTGATCAGAATTTCTGTCCAAGTCGAAATTTGCAAATATACCTAGAAAAATTAGTTTCTACAGAAATATAGAAAGTGACAATAATAATTTTCTTTCTCTATTTGTTGTTATAGATGATGAGGAATACGATGCACTTTAATGACAATGGCAGAAATAATTTTCTTTCTGTATTTGTATCTATAAATGATGAAGGAATACAATGCAATTTAAATTAAATTAGCCAGAAATACTATTCAATTCGAAATTTATTAGAATTTAAGGAAAACTGGGTTTCAATGAAAATAGGAAATGGCAAAAGATTCTTTTGTACATATTTGCTGTTTTAAGATGATGAAAACTACGATGCAAGTCAAACTAAGTTGATCAGAAATTCTGCTCAACCCGAAATTTGCAAAAATATAAGAAAATCCCGTTTCTAGAGAAATACAAAACGACAAAAATAATTTTTTTCTCTGTTCGATGGTATAAATGATGAGGGATACGATGCAGCTCTAACTAAGTTAATCAGAAATTCAGCTCAACCTCAAAATTTGCAAGAATTTACAAGAGGCGATTTTCCAGAAAAATAAAAGTTACCAAAAATCGTTTTTTTTTCATTATTTCATGGTGTAGGGGATGTAGGGGATGAAGAATACGAAGCATTCCAGATTAGATTGATCAAAACATCTACTTAGCCCGAATTTGCAAAAAAATCAAGTAGAACTAGAGAAATTAAACTTCTTTTCAAATAAATTCTTTTTTCGATTTGAAAAATGAAACTTTTTGAGCTTATAGAGAAAGAATTAGTCCTCATTTTGCTGAAAATTTTAAATCTTTATGATTTTTCATTTCATAGAAAAAAATTCTTAAACTCAACTTAACTCAAAAACAGAAAATTTCCCTGACTATGATAACATTAATTTTTTTTTTAAAAAATTTTACGAATTAGATAGTATCATTTTTTGAGGTTGTAACTTCAATTTGGTAAAAATTTCTAACTTCTCGGATTTTCCGTTTCTTAAAATCCTCAAAACCACACATTTTTGAACATCTTTTCGAATAAATTTTTTGTTAAAGAAAGTATTTCTATTTAAGGAATGAAACTTTGTGAGCTTATAAAGAAAGAATTAATGCTCATTTTGTTTAAAATTTTAAACCTTTTCGACTTCTCATTTCGTACAAAAAAAAATCTTAAACTCAACCCAATCTAAAAACGAAAAATTTTCTAACTAAGCAGTTCGAATGCAGTTCTAACTAAGTTGATCAGAAATTCTGCTCAACCTCAAAATTTGCAAGAATTTACAAGATCTTCTAGAAAAATAAAAGATACCAACAATCTTTTTTTCATTATATCGTGGTGTAGGTAATGAGGAACATGAAGCACTCCAGATTAGACTGATCAAAATATCTACTTAGCTCGATTTTGCAAAAAATTAAGTAGAACTTAGTTCCAGCGTTAGTGTTAGTTCAACTTTAAGTTGTTATTCAGCGCTAGGTTAATATATATTTTTATTGAACTAAATCTAGAACTAGAAAGTTTCGGGTTTAGCTGTGCATTTTCAGATACAGCTATCTTTTGCTTGGCGATCGTTTCTATTAATAATTGCGGACTCATAGTCTCAAGCACATGTATTGGAAGGTTAAGGGTTAATTTTGAATAATATTTTTTCTATCAATAAAGAAATTGCACATTTTCTTGCACATATTTTGTCCCAAATTAACCCTTAAATACGTTTTAGTTTAATCTGGGGGTTTTGATATAAAATTTTTTTCTTGGTAGCTATTAATATAACTGTACTATTATCCGATTAATTTTTAATCACAATTCGTAGTCATCAATTAATTTAATTGTCTAGGTAATAAATCTTTCCCATATAAACTTTACAGGACGTTTAAAAAACTGATTTTTTCGTTACAATTTTTTTTTAAATTAATAAATATACACCTCGGCGTTTTTATTTTCTTTTTTTTTACAAAATTGACGAAAACTAACATAAAAACGATTCCATGCTAAGTAATTTTTTTAATAATCAGTCTTTTTTCTTTTAACCACCAATTTCTTTTACTCTTTCCCATTCATTCTTATAAATTTTTTTAACCATCCGTTTTTCACCAATCGTTTTTATTTAACAATCTGATTCATTAATCGTATCCAATCGAAGCGCAAAGAACCTATCGGCAGCACACGTGTATTATACGTGCGTGGCCATCGTCCCCCGTTTTATTGTTGTCGCGTTACTGTTCGGCACAATATATTGACTCGTAGGCGAATTTGGAAGTCTCGTAACTTGGGGAATGCTCCCGTTCGAACCGTTCGCGGCCAACACCGTGTTCACCACGTTAGCACTAGCAGTCACCATACCACTTGAATTTATTATATTCAAATTATTTCTTGTCGAGTCTCTACTATATGGTGGAGGAGCCGGCGTTGCGGCTGGATTCGCCGTATTTGGAGTTGGAAGGCCGATGTTCGTACTTCTTAAATACGGATTACCGTATGTGGCACTAAAACGAGGATCAATCCCGCCGACGGGGATGTTCCCATTAGGAACGTTTCCGCCGTGAGAATGAGATGCATTCAAGGAGTTTAGATGAATGTCCGACAGATCGGAAAGCGGCATTCCGCTCCCGGAAACTGGAATTTGATGACCACTTTGTAATGAGTTTAGTTGAAGACGCGTCGATTGAATGCTGTGATCTAATGAAGAGGTTATTGGGGGCGGTTGCATTAATGGCGGGTTGTAATCTCTTGAGTAATCTACGTAAGGGACGTAACCATTGTTGTTTTGGCCATCCTAAAAAACAAATTTGTGGTAAATTTAATTATTCAAACAATCATGATAAAATATAATTGTAATATATTAAATGTTAAAAAAAAGGTATCGATTAAGTAATGGTTAAACTTTAATTTGATACAAATTGAAGATTCTTCCTAAGTCCATATAATCTAAAAACCATACATTTTCGAACATCTTTTCGAATAAATTTTTTTTTTGAGAGAAAGTATTTTGATTTAAGGAATGAAACTTTTTGAGCTTGTAGAGAAAGGATTAATCCTCACTTTGCTGAATATGTTAAATCTCTATGGTTTTTCATTTCGGAGAAAATAATTCTTAAACTCAACCTAACCCAAAAAAAAAAACAGTAAATTTTCTTGGCTATGATAACATTAAATTTTTTTAGAAAAACTTTTAGTAATTGGGTAATATTATTTTTTGAAGTTATAAAAGAATGATTAAGCTTTAATTTGATACAAATTTCGATGTTCTAGGATTTTCCGTTGCTTTGAAAAAAATTCTTAAAGTTCATATAGCCTAAAAACCATGCATTTTTGAACAACTTTTCGAATAAATTTTTTTTGAAGAAAGTCTTTCGACTTAAGGAATGAAACTTTTTAAGCTTATAGAGAAAAAATTAATCCTCATTCTGCTGAATATGTTAAATCTCTATGGTTTTTCATTTCGGAGAAAATAATTCTTAAACTCAACCTAACCAAAAAAAAAAACAGTAAATTTTCTTGACTATGATAATATTACATTTTTTAGAAAAAACTATTAGTAGTTGGGTAATATCATTTTTTGAGGTTATAAAAGAGTGATTAAGCTTTAATTTGATGCAAGTTTCAATGTTCTAGAATTTTCCGTTTCTCTGAAAAAAATTCTTAAAGTTCATATAATCTAAAAACCATACACTTTTAAACATCTTTTCGAATAAATTCTTTTTTGGAGAATATACTTTGATTTATGGAATGAAACTTTTTGAGCTTATAGAGAAAGAATTAGTCCCCATTTTGCTGAAAATTTTAAATCTCTATGGTTTTTCATTTCGGAGAAAAAAAATTCTTAAACTCAACCTATCCCAAAAAACCCCAGTAAATTTTCTTGGCTATGATAACATTAAATTTTTTTAGAAAAACTTTTAGTAATTGAGTAATATTATTTTTTGAAGTTATAAAAGAATAATTAAGCTTTAATTTGATACAAATTTCAATGTTCTAGGATTTTCCGTTCCTTTGGAAAAAATTCTTAAAGTTCATATAGCCTAAAAACCATGCATTTTTGAACAACTTTTCGTATAAATTTTTTTTTTTAAGAAAGTCTTTCGACTTAAGGAATGAAACTTTTTGAGCTTATAGAGAAAAGATTAATCCTCATTCTGCTGAATATGTTAAATCTCTATGGTTTTTCATTTCGGAGAAAATAATTCTTAAACTCAACCTAACCCAAAAAAAAAACAGTAAATTTTCTTGACTATGATAATATTAAATTTTTTAGAAAAAACTATTAGTAGTTGGGTAATATCATTTTTTGAGGTTATAAAAGAGTGATTAAGCTTTAATTTGATGCAAGTTTCAATGTTCTAGAATTTTCCGTTTCTCTGAAAAAAATTCTTAAAGTTCATATAATCTAAAAACCATACATTTTTAAACATATTTTCGAATAAATTTCTTTTTTTAAGAAAGTACTTCGATTTGAGGAATGAAACTTTTTGAGCTTATAGAGAAAGAATTAGTCCTCATTTCGTTGAAAATTTTAAATCTCTATGACTTTTCATTTCTGAGAAAAAAATTCTTAAACTCAACCTAACCCAAAATAAACAATAAATTTTTTTGACTATAATAAAAAATTTTTTTTAGAAAAAACTATTAGGGGTTGGGTAATATCATTTTTTGAAGTTATAAAAGAATGATTAAGCTTTAATTTAATACAAGTTTTAATATTCTAGGATTTTCCGTTTCTTTGAAAAATATTCTTAAAGTTCATATAACCTAAAAACCATACATTTTTACACATCTTTTCGAATAAATTTTTTTTTTAAGAAAGTATTTCGATTTGAGGAATGAAACTTTTTGAGCTTATAGAGAAAGAATTAGTTCCCATTTTGTTGAAAATTTTAAATCTCTATGACTTTCAATTTCGGAGAAAAAAAATCTTAAACTCAACCTAACCCAAAATAAACAATAAATTTTTTTGACTATAATAAAAAATTTTTTTTAGAAAAAACTATTAGGAGTTGGGTAATATCATTTTTTGAAGTTATAAAAGAATGAATAACCTTTAATTTAATACAAGTTTTAATATTCTAGGACTTTCCGTTTCTTTGAAAAATATTCTTAAAGTTCATATAACCTAAAAACTATACATTTTTGAACATCTTTTCGAATAAATTTTTTTTAAAGAAAGTATTTCGAGTTAAGGAATGAAATTTTTTGAGCTTATAGAGAAAGGATTAGTCCTCATTTTGCTGAAAATTTTAAATTTCTATGACTTTTCATTTCGGAGAAAAAAATTCTTAAACTCAACCTAACCCAAAATAAACAATAAATTTTCTTGACTATGATAACATTACATTTTTTTAGAAAAAACTATCAGGAATTGGGTAATATCATTTTTTGAGGTTATAAAAGAATGATTCAGCTTTAATTTGATACAAGTTTTAATGTTTTAGGATTTTCCGTTTCTTTGAAAAAATTCTTAAAATCCACATAATCTAAAATCCATACATGTTTGAACATCTTTTCGAATAAATTTTTTTTGAAGAAAGTACTTCGATTTAAGGAATGAAAGGTTTTGAGCTTATAGAGAAAGAATTAGTCCTCATTTTGCTGAAAATTTTAAATCTCTATGACTTTTCAGTTCGGAGAAAAAATTCTTAAACTCAACCTAACCCAAAATAAACAATAAAATTTCTTGTCTATGATAACATTAAATTTTTTTTAGAAAAAACTATTAGGAATTGGGTAATATCATTTTTTGAGGTTATAAAAGAATGATTAAGCTTTAATTTGATACAAATTTCAATGCTCTAGGATTTTTCGTTTTCTAGAAAAAAAATCTTAAAGTCCGCATAACCTAAAAACCATACATTTTTGAACATCTGATCGAATAAATTTTTTTTGAGAGAAAGTGTTTTGATTTAAGGAATGAAACTTTTTGAGCTTATAGTGAAAGGATTAATCCCCATTTTGCTGAAAATTTTAAATCTCTATGACTTTCCATTTCGGAGAAGAAAATTCTTAAACTCAACCTAACCCAAAATAAACAATAAATTTTCTTATCTATGATAACATTAAATTTTTTTAGAAAAAAACTATTACGAATTGGGTAATATCATTTTTTGAGGTTATAAAAGAATGATTAAGCTTTAATTTGATACAAATTTCAATGCTCTAGGATTTTTCGTTTTCTAGAAAAAAAATCTTAAAGTCCGCATAACCTAAAAACCATACATTTTTGAACATTTGATCGAATACATTTTTTTTGAGAGAAAGTGTTTTGATTTAAGGAATGAAACTTTTTGAGCATATAGAGAAAGAATTAATCCTCATTTTGCTGAAAATTTTAAATCTCTGACTTTTCATTTCGGAGAAAAAAAATTCTTAAACTCAACCTAACCAAAAAAAAAAAACAGTAAATTTTCGTGGCTATGATAACATTGAATTTTTTTAGAAAAAACTATTAGTAATTGAGTAATATCATTTTTTGAGGTTATAAAAGAATGATTAAGCTTTAATTTGATGCAAGTTTCAATGTTCTAGGATTTTTCGTTTTCTAGAAAAAAAATCTTAAAGTCCGCATAACCTAAAAACCATATATTTTTGAACATCTGATCGAATAAATTTTTTTTGAGATAAAGTGTTTTGATTTAAGGAATGAAACTTTTTGAGCTTATAGTGAAAAGATTACTCGTTATTTTGCTGAAAATTTAAATCTCTATGACTTTTTATTTCGGAGAAAAAAATTCTTAAACTCAACCTAACCCAAAAAAAAAACAGTAAATTTTCTTGACTATGATAACATTAAATTTTTTTAAGAAAAAGATACCAGGGATTAGGCAATACTATTTTGTGAGGTTATAAAAAAATGATTAAGCTTCAATTTGGTAAAAGTTTCAAACTTCTAGGATTTTCCGTTTCTTTGAAAAAAATTCTTAAAATTCACATTACCTCAAAACCATACATTTTTGAACATCTCTTCGAATAAATTTTTTTTTAAGAAAGTACTTCGATTTAAGGAATGAAACCTTTTGAGCTTATAGAGAAAGAATTAGTCCTCATTTTGCAGAAAATTTTAAATCTTTATGACTTTTCATTTCGGAGAAAAAAATTCTTAAACTCAACCTAACCCAAAATAAACAATAAATTTTCTTGTCTATGATAACATTAAATTTTTTTTAGAAAAAACTATTAGGAATTGGGTAATATCATTTTTTGAGGCTATAAAAGAATGATTAAGCTTTAATTTGATACAAGTTTCAATGTTATAGGATTTTCCCTTTTCTTGAAAAAAAATCTTAAAGTCTGCAAAACCTAAAAACCATACATTTTTTCGAATAAATTCTTTTTTAAAGAAAGTTTTGATTTGAAGAATGAAACTTTTTGAGCTTATAAAGAAAGAATTAGTCCTCATTTTGCTTAAAATTTTAAACCTTTTCGACTTCCCATTTTGTAGTTAAAAAAACTTAAACTCAACTTAATTTAAAAACAAAAAAATTTCTTGTTATGATAACATTAATTTTTTTTAAGATTATAAAAGAATGATTAAGCTTTAATGATAGATTTCCCTTATAATATAAAACTGAGTCTAATTGTAATTAAATATATCCGGTGATTGGGAAATGTAATTGAGAAGTAATCCTTCAATTATCAGGAATCTTCTCTCTATATTATCACATCGGTATTATCCCAATAGCTTCAGTTAATAATCTGAGCCATCTCCACGTCATTACACATAATCTTAACCACATAATTCATCAACCAACATTAATCCACGTTTTAATTCATTCATTATGCAACGTTTTATACCTCATCATAATAATAATTCAATTTAACGCAACCTTTGTCTTCATTAATATATCATTAACTTTCAATTAGCTTAATATCTTTTATATTTACTCATATAAAGTGTCCAAAAATCGCCTCAAAAAAATAAATTCAAATTGTATGTTTTAGCAAACAGGAGAATTGAATTAAAATTTTAGTACACTCTGCTATGACCCAATTTCTAATATCGATTAAATGACATTTGATTTCAATTATAAATACATTTAAACTGTTAAAGCTGGAGAGGAATTTAAAGATATAGTTCATTCTTGTTAGTTGCAACGTTGCATTTTCTTTTAATTCAATGTTTTTAAAGGTTTTAATACTCACTTTTGGAGGGAAGGGTTGGTCTGTGTAATCGGAGGAATATCGGTACAAATCTTGACCAGGAACGTTAACGGGTCCGGCTAATGGAACACCTATTCTAGTAATAACAGACTCGCTCCCGGTTTCGGATTCTCCCGGAATATAATCCATATCACAGTGCATGTTACTGTTTGAAGATCCAGTTCTTAAATCCAACTTTAAATCGGATATGTTTGAACTACGATCGGATTCTTTGCACTGTTTTTCCATCGTATTAACATCTCCTCCTAAAAAATTAATTTAATTAATAAATTAATTTTTAAACACACTTTAAACTGTTTGAATGAATAATTTTAATACACACAAATTCGAATAGCTATAAAAAAAGCTAATCAAAAAAGCTACGCGATTCTTTTGTACGAAGATGTCAAGCATGTCTTCAAATGGAGGGAGGTCATATAGAGCATACACTTTAAGCATTTTGTGTTCAGTTTTTATGTTCTGCTTGTATTTTCCCTACTTAAGAGGACTAAGACGCTTCATTCCTTTAAAATGAGGCCAAACATGATGGGATTATCTCAAAAATGAACATTTTTAACATTTCGTTGCCAACTTCACTTTGTTAACTTTAAATTTATCAACTTTTTGTTGTTTGTTTGTTATTTTTTGAGATGAAATAGTCGAGTTTGGACTCATTTTAAAGGATTTTTCGTAAAGATTAAGAATTTAATAAAATTAAAGTTGATATTTATAAAAGGAAGTCGACCATTAAAGGTTATTTTTAAGTTAATCATGCTATATTGGTATTTATTTTAATGAATGTTTGATGAATATTACCAAAAAAACACTCAACATTAAAAATAATAGAAATACGGGGTACTTCCGGTTTGAAATATCAACTTTAATTTTGTTATATTCATAATCTTTACGAAAAATCCTTAAAATGAGGCCAAACACGATGGGATTATCTCAAAAATGAACATTTTTAACATTTCGTTGCCAACTTCACTTCGTTAACTTTAAATTTATCAACTTTTTGTTGTATGTTTGTTATTTTTTGAGATGAAATAGTCGAGTTTGGACTCATTTTAAAGGTTTTTCGAAAAGATTAAGAATTTAATAAAATTTAAGTTGATATTTATAACCGGAAGTCGACCATTAAAGGTTATTTTTAAGTTAATGATGCTATATTTGTGTTTATTTTAATGAGTGTTTGATGAATATTCCAAAAAAAAATATTCAACATTAAAAATAATCGAAATACGGGGTACTTCCGGTTTGAAATATCAACTTTAATTTTGTTATATTCGTAACCTTTACGAAAAATCCTATAAAACGAGTCCAAACACGATGGGATTATCTCAAAAATGAACATTTTTAACATTTCATTGCCAACTTCACTTTGTTAACTTTAAATTTATCAACTTTTTGTTGTATTTTTGTTATTTTTTGAGATGAAATAGTCGAGTTTGGACTCATTTTAAAGGATTTTTCGTAAAGATTAAGAATTTAATAAAATTAAAGTTGATATTTATAACCGGAAGTCGACCATTAAAGGTTATTTTTAAGTTAATCATGTTATTTTGGTATTTATTTTAATGAATGTTTGATGAATATTACAAAAAAAACATTCAACATTAAAAATAATCGAAATACGGGGTACTTCCGGTTTGAAATATCAATTTTAATTTTGTTATATTCATAAACTTTACGAAAAATCCTTTAAAATGAGGCCAAACACGATGGGATTATCTCAAAAATGAACATTTTTAACATTTCGTTGCCAACTTCACTTTGTTAACTTTAAATTTATTAAATTTTTGTTGTATGTTTGTTATTTTTTGCGATAAAATAGTCGAGTTTGGACTCTTTTTAAAGGATTTTTCGTAAAGATTAAGAATTTAATAAAATTAAAGATGATATTTATAACCGGAAGTCGGCCATTAAAGGTTATTTTTAAGTTAATCATGGTATATTTGTATTTATTTTAATGACTGTTTGATGAATATTACAAAAAAAAACATTCAACATTAAAAATAATCGAAATCCGGGATACTTCCGGTTTGAAATATCAACTTTAATTTTGTTATATTTATAATCTATACGAAAAATCCTTTAAAATGAGGCCAAATACGATGGGTTTATCTCAAAAATGAACATTTTTAACATTTCGTTGCCAACTTCACTTTGTTAACTTTAAATTTATCAACTTTTTGTTGTATGTCTGTTATTTTTTGAGATAAAATAGTCGAGTTTGGACTCATTTTAAAGGATTTTTCGCAAAGATTAAGAATTTAATAAAATTAAAGTTGATATTTATAACCGGAAGTCGGCCATTAAAGGTAATTTTTAAGTTAATCATGATATATTGGTATTTATTTTAATGAATATTTGATGAATATGACAAAAAAACATTCAACATTAAAAATAATCGAAATACGGGGTACTTCCGGTTTGAAAAATCAACTTTAATGTTGTCATATTCATAATCTTTAGGAAAAATCCTTTAAAATGCACTGCTAAACCCGAAATTTTCTAGTTCTAGGTCTAGTGTTGGTTCTAGTTTTAGTCCATTAAAAATATACAATTATCAAGCGCTGACTAATAATTAAAACTAGAACTAACACAAGACCTAGTACTAGAAACATTCGGGTTTAGCCATCTTAAGAGACGTATAGCTAAACCCGAATGTTTCTAGTTCTAGGTCTAGTGTTAGTTCTACTTTGAATTCAATAAAAAGATACAATCTGGTGCTGAATATATCGAGGTTTTGCTGTAATAAATTAAATAACTTACCTTCTGGAGGAGGCTTTTTATGATTTTGCCTATTATAAAGGCAAACTATTAGAGCGATAATAACAATGACGATTCCTAAAGCGACACTTCCAGCTGTTACCATTATTATTGGAAAATTTTCTGCAAAAAAATTTAAATAAGAAACTTATTTATATAATAAGTTGGTAATAAAAAATCTTACTTTGTGGCCTTAAATTAATCTCAACCATATCGCTTCCATACGGATTAACAACACTACAATTATAAACACCAAAATGTCTTTCTTGAGATTCTCTAATAATTAACGTTGATTTAACACCTTCCGGAAGCGGATCCTCCAAAATCGAATAATCGCTATTGTGCAAATCAATTTCGCGTCCATTAAAAGTCCAAACGACTTTTTCCGGAGCTGGAATTGAAAAGGCTGTGCATTCGACGCGAACGTTATCGCCTTCAACTCCGAATTGAGTCCTGTGACTAATTATTGATGGTGGTCCTAAAAAGTGAATTAACTAATTTAGTATGCGTTTTATGTTTAATCAATTATCGGTTGTGCATGAAACATTTTTTCAGGTGTGGGTTTGAAATATTTATCTCGCGTATTTTTATTTCATTAACATGAAAAGCGCTCGGACAGCGACAGTGAAAAATTGCCGCGGCCCCTCGGCAACAAAAGATGAGCTGCACGAACAATGCCCGATGGTATTCATTGTTCATCATGTGTAAATAAAAATTGGACGCGTACGGCTGACGGTGAATTTTAAACGGAAAGAAAAATGTTCAGTCCATTGGTGGCGAAAAAATAAGTTACCTTTGAGGTAAATGGAGGCTTCAGCGCCGACTTCTGGGAATCCAGGAACGTGAGCTTTACAATAATATCTTCCGGCTGTTTCACCATCGACTCTCAACGTTAAATTTGGACTCGTACTGACCACTTTGTTTTTCTCTTGTTGAATCCAAGTTATATCGGGTATTGGATTACCATCAACGTCACAAGATAACGTTACGCTTGAATCTAAATCTGCTTGGGCCGATTTTGGTTTATTACGAAATTGGGGACCATCTAAATTTAATAAAATAAAATTTATTAAAAAAAAAATAAATCTAAATTAATTAACTTACAACTTATATCAAGGGTCTCACTTTCTTCACTTTTCCCAACATCGTTTTGCACCTCGCATTTTACGATGGCGTCGTGGTGTTTTCTTGTTACATTATGCAAAATTAATTCAGTCGTGTAATCACCCACTAAGAGTTCATTGTTTAAGAACCACCTATAAGTTACAACTGAAGGATTTGCGTCCGCGTGGCAACCCAAATGTACTTCCGCTCCTTCTGGAATTCTTCCATTTGGTGCAGTTCCAGAAATAATACTGACTGTTACTTTTGGAGCGTATTTCACCTATTAAATTAATTATTTTTATTATTTTAGTTTTTGTTTTATTTATTTTTTTTTTGTATTTACCTCCAATTTCATTTTTGCAGATCTATGTGTCCTTTCGGCCGTGTTTTGCGCTTGACAAGTAAATGTCGTGTTATGGTGTTGCTTTCTGGGCGTAAGTTTCAAAATGCTTTTAGCGGTGAAACGTCTGCCGTCCGAAAGCTCTTCTACGATGTTCTCGATACCCTCGGCGAGAACGTTTCCCATACCGTCAATCCACGTGATTTCCGCAGCCGGTTTTCCACCGTAACTTACGCATTCAAGCTCGATTTCGCGGTCTTCTGTCGTCATCAGATAATCTCCCTGCACAATCTTTGGGGAATCCGGTGGGACAAGAACGGTGATGGTGGCCACGTGGCTTCGAATCCCCGGTTGTCCCAATGGACCCGGCGACACTTGGCACTCGTACTTTGCGTCATCTTCGAGCATCACAGGGTAGATGTCCAAGGAAAAGTCTCCTGGAACGTCATAATCGCAGGATTTAGAAACGACTTTTGGTAAGAGGATTTTCGTGGAGATGGGAAGTGAAAGAGGACAGTTTTATGATGTCGTTCGATGTAGCAGTAAAAGGTTTTGAGTGAAAGAGGCGGTGACCAACGATTATGAAACGAGAAAAACCACTTTTTTTTCTTAATTTTTGATTGCAAGTAATTTTGACCAATTTAAAAACACTCAGTCTCAAAACAACTTAGTTTTCTTTTAATGTTGATTACTAACAATAAGAGGAAAAGGTGTTCTTATTGAAAATAAGAATAAAAAAGTTGTTTGTTATCTTAATGGAAATTAATTTTTGTGTTTAGAAAAAAAAGCAATTTAGTCGTTTGTAATTTGATGTAGTTAATTTATGGGGTCCCATTAAATTACAACATAATGATTTTAATGTAAGGTGAACGGGTAGTTTTTAATTGACCATTTATTATAACTTCCACTTCACTTCGATCCCCATTCACAATCTTATTAAAAATAAAAACACGAGCAAACCTGGCCTTGCGTTGCGCCACACCTTATCTAAGAGTTATTTTTAATAGAAATAGATGGTGCGGATACACGTGATTTATGCCACCATTAAATCGTATCCGTTACTCTAATTTAAATCATTAATTATACAAAATTTTGTACTCAATATTTCTCTCATTACAAATTAGCCATACTCCTTCTTATAATTATAGGATAAAAAAAATGGTTAAAATACAATGATTTCAAAGTGATTAGAAAATATCGATTGTTCTTCATCGCTTTTTATTCTTTTTCGCTACTACGATTAAGCTCTCAAAGTTGACATTCATCATAATGTCAAGATCAAAAAGTATACTGAGATAAAGAATGACATGGTTGATAAAATCTTAAACCTATAAAAAAAGTTGTGAAAGAAAGAGAAGGAACAAAGAAAAAGGATGCCGGTGAGAGTACGAAATAGGAAGTGTTGGAAGAGGTGAAAATACTGAAATGGAATACCAAAGCAGAAGAATGGGAAGATGTTGAAAAGTGGGAGGATGTTTGATTCAGAGGAAAGAAGATTGACTTGACCTTGAAAAGGACAATTTGTGGTTATATTGTATGATCGAAGAAACAAAAATATAGTCATGGGGGGCAAAAAAGTTGTGGGCAATAAGGACTTGACGATTAATGTGGTTAAGAGTTGAAGGGGACACAAATAAAAAATGTAAAACTGGGCAAAAAGCCTGCTCCAATCTTCTGCACTTAACATGTAGGAAATCCAACACGATAAAACCCAAGATAATCATTTCTGACATGCAATGGGACTTACAAGAAAGCATATTACATGACTGCAAGAAATTTTTTGAAAAGATGATGGTATGTTAAAATTAAGTTAAAACGGAGAGGAAAGACAAGTGCAGGTCATGGAGGTATTGGGGTGTACAAGTAGAGAAATGTTAAGGTTTGGCATGATGAACACAAAATTATAGAGAATGCTACAATTATCTAGGATATGAGCACCTACAATATAAAACAAGTAGCCATTATGGAACTAAAGGGCATGAATTCAAATACTCCAAAGAAAAGAAACCATCAATTTGCATTGATTACAAAAGTATAAGGCGTTGCTGAAAGTACAAAACGTAAGTTATCAAGAGAAATATCAATTGTGATACTTTCGCTGTGATAACAAGGATTTAGTGTAACGTTCGGAGGAGCAACTACCTCTGTTAAATGTGATAAATATGAGATTTAGTTTGTTATGGTACATTGTCTGTAATTAACACATCTATAGATATCAAAATATTGGAAGAGGTGACTTGGTAATTTTGTAAAATAGGAGTCAAGAAGGTACCAATAAGAATTATTATTGAAAACCATCAAGAGTCTAATGATTGAAGACTAGACTGAGAAAAAGATGAATGGGTGATGTAGAGGAAGATTTGGGAGAAATGGGAGTTAGCAGATGGAAACAGTTGTGTGGGGAGAGGACATAATGGAAAAAGATCATCCATCACTCTATCAAGTACCTTATCAATGGCAGAAGCCAAGAATATTGGCCTGACGTTGCCATTTAGCTTCGGTCATTCTCTTCCATACCTCATTTTCATCCTTCTCCTTACACATTTTCTCCTTAATACTTAACACATGTATTCATTAAGGCCTCATTCCACATCTTCATTCTGTCTCCCACTTTTTCCTCCTTATAAAAACCCACACTCTCTCAAACTTTCCCCAACTAGCTCTTCTACACTCAAACCTATTCCAACTGTTAAGAAAACACAAGGACCTAGATGTCATGACTAAAATTAAGGTTATACCATTGCAATGGTGAGCTCTGTGGATTGAGCACCAGATACATATGTGATTTTTCTAGTTCTAGTGTTAGTTCTAGTTTTACACTAGCACTATCACTAGAACTAATACAAGACCTAGAACTAGAATCATTCGGGTTTAGCCGTCTTGAGAGACGTGCGGCTAAATCCGAATGTTTCTAGTTTTAGGTCTAGTGTTTGGCACTGAATAACAACTAAATCTATTGCTAACACTAGAACTAAGACTAGACCTAGAACTAGAAACATTCGGGTTTAGCCAAACCTCGTTTAAGACGGCTAAAGCTGAATGATTCTAGGTCCAAAAGTAGATTCTTAGTTCTACTCTTAGTCCATTAAAAATATACAACAACCTAGCGCTGACTAATAATTAAAACTGGAACTAGCCCTCATTCCACATCTTCATTCTTTCTCCCACTCTTTCCTCCTCATAAAAACCCACCATCCTAGTATATCCATCCAACAGCCTCTCAAACTATCCCCAAATAGCTCTTTTACAATCAACCCTACTCCAAGTGTTAGGAAAACACAAAAATCCAGAAGTCATGACTAGAATTAAGGTTATGCCATTGCGATGGTGGGCTATGTGAAATGAGCACCAGATTCATATGTGAGAAGGATTTATGCCAAACCACAAGGAAGATAGAAACGGAGAAGATCTAAATTTAGGTGAGAGGACGGGTAAAGCCAAGGTTGGATTTAGAGGGTGGAGGATAGCTACAGAGTATAAGAACTTGCACAGGATTGTAGCTCAACAGATGATAATGATGATATCGAGCATCACCTTTTTTAGGATAATTGTATTAAACGTAAAATTTTACGGATATATATATAATAAATAATATTTAGGTACTTTTGTAAAGAGTAAGAAAGTAAAAAACTTGCATACAGAAGATTCAGGACTTTATTTGACGTTAACTAAGCTGCTTTTTAGAGTAGCTCTTAATGCAGATTTTCGTTGATAGTTTGCAATATAGAGAAACATAAGAAGCTTTGTGCTTACCATAAATGGAAATTTAAATAATATCTTCGCTTACATTTTAAAATCTGACGTGCATTCAAATACACCCTTTTATTAAGAACCGTATAACTCGTAATCTCCATTCAAAATCCTTTAATTTGATACCAAACACGAGGTATTTTCGATAAAAATTAAAAATTAGAAAGAGATAGAGATATTAAAGACCGATTGATTGTCGATTGTTTTTCAGGTTAAATTTTGAGATATCTCTGAAAGTAATTTACGAAAATACATCGAGTATGGTATCAAATTAAAGGGTTTTTAATGGAGATAATTGATTTAATTATTATAAATTGATTGTGTAAATGTCGTCTTATATAAAAACTAAAATTAAATTATTGTTTTTGATGAGTTCCTTTGACTCATCATTTCTTTCGCGTTCTTTTTGCTTCTATTCTTTCGAGAAAATAGTTTTGTATATAACGTTGACAATGGGGGTTTTGGCCGCGTTCCCTTTTCTTGTCGCGTTAGAGCATTAACCTTTACAATTCCCGCGGGAGATTTGTACGGGGGCGATGAAGAAGGCGCCATGTTGGTACCTTCATAAAACCCCCCGTCTTTTATGAACTCGTTATACGTCTCTGTCGCGTCCAAACGAAGGGAAACGCGAAGTTGTACGTAGCAGTAGGTTGAGTTTGATGGTTTCCGAGCCAATCGAACTGCGAGGGGGGTAGAAACCCATGGTTTTATAGACACGAGACGCGTGCGGAAACGTTTTATTCCTTTATCCAGGAAATAATCCTAAAACCTTAAAAAAAACAGGAGCAAAACGTATATTTGAAACTGGACCAATTTAGATTCAAAATCGATTTTGTTGTTGATGGTTCTAATTTTGTACGATAAATAATATAAATGTACGAATGGAAAGCTTTTATTATCTATCAGTGTAATGTTTGTCCGGGAAGGCGTACGAGTATCAAATTACTTTTTCATACTCTAATGGGTAAAATAGTGGTGTAGTTTTGTAAATTTAAATAATGAATCTGCATGTTTTATAAAGTTTTTTATAAAATATAAAAATGTAATATAATATTATTCGCCAAAAGATGTTCAACACTATCGCTTGCGCCACGGGAAATGTTACTTTAGCTTCTGAGGTCGTATATATAAGGGGCTGAAACGGCTCACCGGTGTATACGACCGCCAACATAACCTATAATGTAAAAGTCCGGCGTGGTCTGGATGCTTCCATACCGCGTTTTCCCATCTCGAGGGAGCTAGCGCAGCCAATTATGTCGTAAAACGTAACAATGTTGAAAATTGTGGAATAAAAATGTGGTGACCATTATATTTACTAGTTGTCAGAAATTATTTGATTGATGTTATTAATTTATTTTGTTTACTTTATATTAAATGTATTTGCATTGTAAGATATGCGCAGATTTTTTTCTTAGCCATTATCACCAAAACGAACTAACACTAATAACTTTCTTCAGAAACAACTAAAACTAGAATTAACTTAATACTATCATTAGAACTAACACTAGACCTAGAACTAGAAACATTCGGGTTTAGCCATCTTAAGG